TTTTTTTTTTTTTGGAGACAAAAAACTGGATACTAACTTTGCAAAAAAACTTCTAAACGTTGTGTTAAGAATTTTTAAAGTTTTTTGAGTCAAAAATATAGAAGACGCTTAATAGCTGCAAAAAAAAAACGTCAAGAAGTAGACTAATTTTAGAAAAATAAATCTCTTTTACTCTTAACGAAATAAACAACAGGGAAGAAACATTAATATCAGTTTGGTTTTCGTTTCAGAATGCCCATTAGGATGGCATCAGTATGAAAGCACCAGGTCGTGTTTTCAAGTCAATAAGAAGACGCTAAGCTGGTCGGAAGCTGAACGTGAATGTAACCAAGAAGGTGGACATTTGGCATCTATTGTTGATGAGTTTGAGAACGTCCAAGTTTTTGGTAAGTTATGCCTGTTGTTTTGGTTTCTGAAACTGTGTAGAACAATAAAAACACAGAACTAAAGATATATAATAGTAGCTAGCTGTAATGTTAAAAAAAAAGGCAAACAAAATAAACAAGGTTGTCAACTTTTCAGACATAGTTAAACAAGCAAATCTGAGTGTACTGACTGTTTGGCTTGGAAGACTGGTAAAACTTTCGGAAACTGGTGAATATGAATGGAATGATGGTTCTGTAGGCCGGCACTCAGAGGGATTTAAAGGTGGTGAGCCATTAAGCGCCAAGTTTTATTTTGATTGTAACTGCATATTTATTTCAGCTTTTAGTTGACACATTTTTGCCCAACTGAATGCAGTAAAGTTTATTTCAATTAGCGTAATGTCATTCAAGTTGAAATTGTCTTCAAAAGAATAGTTGACATGAAAAAGTACCTATGTTTATCGATGTTTAACAGTGATTTTGAAAACAAAGTACATTTTTTAGTCTGTCAGTAAAGTCAAAAAAAGGATAAAATTTGCCTTATTTTAATGTTTTTGAACTCTAAATTGTTTATCTGACTTATTTGGCAATACATTTTTGTTTAGCTTAGTACAAGATAAATAAATGAAGTAAACTATTAAACACAAGAAATCGACAGTACCAAAAAATATATATATTATGAAGAAGAAGTAACCTTTTACGTTCAGCTTACTTAAAACTGGCGATCTATTTTACAGTAGTATAGCTAATTGAATAATAAATTATTTATGATAGCACCTCCAAGCGGTACCAATAAATGTCTAACAATGTGGTTGGATTCTGGCAGAGCTGAAGGTTCCTGGTTAGAGTGGTCTTGTACATATCGCCCCGGATATGCATCACTCTGTAAGAAACCGTATAAGTCAGTTCCATCATCAGGTATTATTATGATTATTAATTTATTAACTTTTAATTCTTTCAACGAACATCAGTAGCTGTACAAAATAGTTGTGACATAAGAAATGCATTTGTTTGAAAAACTTGAGTTAACAAAATTTGATCATAAACTGTATCCCTTGATTAAAAATTAAATGAAACAAAAATAAATACAAAACAAAAAAGCAGACAACAAATTTCACAACAAAATAAATTTGCAGTTATTAGTACTGTTGAGGATAAATCCGATATGCAAGATTAAAGAAAGTTATCGAGAACAGCACCTGTGATAGATAGTATCAATTGTCAGTTTATTAGCTGTCTGAATATTTTTGAGAGATCTGTGATTTGAACAAAAATTTTTTTTTCTAAAAATAACGAGTTTTAATTTTTTTTTTCTTTTTTTTTCTTTTTTTGCTAGTTTATTCTTATTCTTTGGTAGCTGAGTTAGGTCTTTATAAGAATACAAAATTCGTGATCCCGTCTTTATAATGGCATCGTCCTAAACAGATCTGCCTAGAATATAGATTATTACTGTTCTATCAGACCATTTGTAATGTTATTTTTTGTGACCCTAATGACAATGTCACCACAACTAGCAGATAATTTGTTACTTAGCAACTTTGAACTTTTTAACTTTGTTCTTTCCACCTTTTGATGTTTACCGATGTCTAGCAAAGGTATTAGAAGCAAAAATACAACCTTTATTTGCTTGACTTTTTCTAGCAAATTTATTAAAGAATGAAATCTTTCTGTTTTAACGTCTCCAAATATCTTGTCATTTGTCTATTTTAATTTATCGACAGTCAATTTACTGTTGTACTGATTATCAGCTTCACGACAATAAGTGCAACAAATTTTATATTGAAAAAATGGTAATGTTACGTGTTGAAATAACCGGGAACAAAAAAATTAGCAGGTAGATGTTCAGAACTTGGCACGTCTAGACAGGCTCAGAAATTTAGCTCAGAAATTTAACTGAGAAAAAAAATAAAAGCTGTAAAATTTATAAACTATTCACCGATAACGTTCAACAAACAACTGTCGTCAAGTTTAATAAAAATGCATATATATCTATGTACAGTAACTGTTCGCCAAAATAGATTACAAATGGTCAAAAAAAGTCATCGATGAGGTCATATGGGTATACAATAGAGGTATATGTACATACACACAGATATGTATATATACACAGGGAAGTATTTCTTTTAAGCATTTTGTTCACTGTCATCGAATGCTTTGTTCCTTTTGTAAATCTTTCACCAGTCAATTCTATTATTTGACATCTTCAAAAGCTACAGCAACATGAGATGCTCTCAGTTAGCTTAAATGATTGCTGTTGAAAGTAGAGCTGATGTAACACGTTTTTAAATGTTTTTTTGAATTTGTTAAAAACAAAACCAGAGCAAGAGAAAGAAAAAAATTTTTTTTTGATCAATAAGTATTGTCTTTACTGCACTGATACTTCCGTATTTTCTGGTACAATTCTATAACAATTGTTGCTGTCGTCAAAACTCAACAGTCTGAATGCATCAGTAAAAGCAAATGTTAAATTGTTGTACAAACATGAACAAACGAACAAGTTGCTTTGTTTACCGATGTCACCCGTACTCAAAGAAAAGACTGTAAGAAACGATGCGAAAATTTTAGCACCTTCACCAGTACTAACAAAGAGAAATGTTCCACTTCATCAGCAAGATTTTCATTAATTTATTTCATAAAAAGAAACTTTTTCAAA